TCTCCTCTCTCACTCTGTAGGAGCAGTAATCCTGCTCAAATCTTCCTGCTACACTCTAGATCTTCCCCCTCCTCCTCCCCCTCTTCTCTGGACCAAATTGAAACCTCAGATCCCATCTTTGCAGTCTCAGCCCTGCTCCATACGGGTCTCTCCAACTGGAACTCCCTCGGCCTAATCCTCAACCTGCCCTCTGTCCTCTTCCCAGCCCCCCTACTCCTTGCTCTTGTTCTGCTCAAGTCCTGGGACCCACAGACTCTACCATAAGTGGTTTATACCCACGCAGGGAAGTGGCTGTGGTGGAAGGCATCGTGAGGATGCATGTCCCTTTTATTTAACTCAATCTTACGGTGTGACCTGGAATGACCTCTACATTATTCTTTCCTCCACTCTATTCCCTGAGGACAAGGAGAGGGTCTGGCTTAATGGCCAGGCACATGGTGATGAAATCCATAGGCGTACCCCTGCCCGACCAGTAGGGGACAGTCACCATCCCTAGAACAGATCCATTAGGGGATTATCAAGTAGGAACTCCTGAAGGAACTTTATTCCTCAATATACATTTTATCTTCCAGTCCAAGTCTGATATCATGTGGAAGCTTCAAAAAATTAGATGAAGGCCCTCAAATCCCACAAAAAGATCTCCTAAATCTGGACTTTAAGGTCTTTAATAACAAAGATAGGGAGAGGGGAAGGAAAAAGACAGTGGGACTGACAATAGCCCCCAAAACAGAAGAAAACCTTTTTAAATCGTGGCTGCCCTGTGAAGGAGTTTTTCCAGAGAGTCACTCAAAAGGCCCCAGGCAAGTGGATGACAAGTCCACACCCTTCTATGGGTACTGAGTCTGGCCTTCAATATGACTCTGGGTCCCTAGAGAAAAATGTCCCAGGAAATGGGCTCCACCAGGACTGTGCCCCCTCTGACAAATGAAAGGCACTGGAAAAGCAAGTGCCCTCTTCTGAAAATGGGAAGATCACACATACACTCCGGAACTGGCTTCCCCACCCTGGACAGTCATCCTGCATACCCAGACCCTCTGAAACTGCTTCAGTCTGATGGACACATGAGGCTTGGGAACAGACTCAACTTCGACACACTGGGATGGCCCAGTCTTAGGTAACTCTCTGGCACAGGCAAAAACACTAGAACCACGTCCTCTGCTCTTCCTGAATTTTGAGGGCCTCTATTTCCCTCTCCTACCCCCGTCATCAGAGTAAAAGGTAAATTACAAACCCCCTGTATATTCCATGGCTTCTCTGTCTGCTGGGAGATAAAGTACTTGCCCACCCCTTTTATACTTCCCAATTACCCCCACTGGGAAAAGATCTTAATGGCTTTCTTCCTCTGACCTATGGAAAAGCTTAACTGAAACTTTACATAGAACTTTTCCTTGGTGTGCTCTGAGCTTTCAAACTATAGAACTTTCTGCATTACTTCACCTAAAATTGTCTACATGTCTACATGTTTGTGTGACCATGTATATGTAATGTTTCACTACCAAAATAGGTAAAAGAACTCTAATTAATTGCCTTAAAGAAAAAGTGTTTACATCAAATATTTCATTTAAAAAATAACAAATTAGAAGTCTGATTTTGAAAAAATGAAATTAGTAAGTTGGTTCCGTTGTCTTTCTCCACCACCCCCACCTAGTGCCTACCTGCCAGCAATGAAACTCACTGAACTCAAGGATTTCCCAGGGCAAACTGGGCCACCTTCAACTTTTTAAATAATTCTCTCAAGCAAGTGTTACAGTGGGTCATTCCAAGGACAAACCGAGTGGCACATGGAGAGTCAGAGAATAAAGATTTATTTGCTGTCAGGCTCAGAGGGGACTTGCCACCAAATTCTGAGCCCTGTCTAC